AATGAAATATGTCAAATATGCAAGAAAAAGTATAAAGAATTAGTTTAATCAATGTTTATCCAGTTTTAACCAATCTTAATATTTACTATAATTGCTTTACAAAAATACAAATAAGCTTCATAGTCATAGTTATCACTTTCTGATCCTGTTACCCTTCATTCACAGAGTTAACCACTATCTTGATTTTGATCTCTAACTCTTATGCCTATTTTAATACTTTCATTTTATGTGTATGTCCAGAAACAACATGTAGTATTGTTTCTACTTTATTTAAACGGGTCATACTGTATAAATCTGTTGCTGCTTTTGATATTTGCTGTTTTCATTGGATGTTGTTTCAGGAAATTATAAATGCAGCTGAGATTCACTCACTTTCACTGCTGGGTCATATTTTATTGTATGACGTTACCCAAACTATGTAATCATTTTTCTGATGCACTTTGAACTTTCTAATATTTGCTGTTACCAATAATGCTGCATTGAGAATTCTTATGTTCCCTTGGCCACATGAGTTTCTTTGGAATCCCTACTTTAAATCTATTTTAAGGAAGTAAATCACAGGGTAAAGACTGACATATTAATTGGGTAAAATGGAGGTTCTATGTTTAACTCTGGCTCTATGAATGGCATACAGGACACTGTGTGGCAACTCCAAAGCCTTAAGCTACAAATGCTTACTTCTAGGTTTGAGAGAAATTAGCACACAAAACACAAAACGGTGATGTCAGGAGGTGGAATGAAATATGTGCTTTATGCTGGTAGAGGTGGCTCTGGTGTTGGCAGGATTTGAGCCAGTGATTCAGACCTTTCTCCACTAAATCAAGGTGGGCTTATGTTCATTATCACCTTGAGGTTCCAGCCAAAAGAAAAGAGGCTAGGTGCCTTTTTAGGTCTCGTTTTCTGTGTCTTGTTCTCTCTTAATTATAAAACCGACAGGCAGGTCTCATTCTCTCTTTTCTACCCCTTAGGATAGATGCCTATTCAATGTTCTGAGTCTTTCACTGTTTTTTTTTTTTTTTTTTAACACTGTCCTTCCAGTGTGGAATTCTGGCTTCCTCAGAGAACTCTAATTTTTGGTGCAGATCCCCAAACATCCTAGATAGTGCTTTTTCCTATTACTGTTCATTCAAAAGAAACTCCCGATAGATAGGAATTTCCTTTTGAATATCTCCCAGGAGTTTCCTTTTACCTCCCCCACCCCTTTACTCTAGCAGAATTCTGTTTCTTAGTATGTATTTTGTTTGAATAGGAATATTTTGGAGGTGTGAAGATTCTATGTAGCAGCACAAAACATGAAATACATCAAAATACGGACTCTCAAAGTGTGGTTCTCAGACCAGGAGCATTAGCATCTTCTGGGGATTTGTTAGAAATGCAAATTCTCAGGCCCACCCAGACCTACTAAATCAGATGCTCTGGGATGGAGTCCAGTGATTTTTGTTTTAACAAGAGACTCCCTGATTCAAAAGATGCGTAAATAGGTACTGGGGGTTATATTGTGGGCCTGCCTTACTCTACTTTCTGGAAGGAACTAAATACTTGAGAGATGGCAGCCCAGAGGGGTTATTTGTGAAAGGTATATTTTTAGGCTTTTTGTGTGTGTAGCATTCTTAAAGGCAAACCTTTAGCTTTTAGAGGCTGCTTTGGTTGCCTTCATTGATTATGACCAACAGCGGAAAATAGAATGCCATAAATTCTTGTTTCCAGGGTTACCTTCTTGCTGCTGATAACAGGCAGGAAATTAAAACAATCTGTGATAGTGTTTTGTTCTTATTAAGTCACAGATGGTAGCTTTCAGATATGTTGGAGCAAAACATAAATAAACATAACATGGAAACTTTATTATTAAAGAAAAATGATTTGGCTAGGTCAAGTTTATAGTCTGAGTTCATTTTATGAAATGGGATGTAAAGAACACATTAGTGTTCTATCACCACACACAGCATTAAGACATATGAGAGTCACTAGTTTTGTTCTTTCTGGTTACATTTTGAGTATGTAAAACATTTACATGATTTCAACGTCAAAGCTTTAAAACAAATTACATTCAAAGATGTCTCACTTCCGTCCATATCTCTTCTCTCCTGTCTGCTTCATCCTTCATGGGTAATCATTTTTATTAGCTTTTTGGTTTATTCTTATAGTGTTTCTTTTTGAAGATAACCATGTATATGTGTGTCTATGTTTGTATCTCCCCCTTTCCACTTTCTTTACACAAAAAGTTGCATTTTATACTACAGTTTCTTTTAAAAATGTATTTTTAAAATTTAGCTCTATTAAAGTATAACTTAAATTCAGTAAAATTCACCAACTTTATGTGTGCAATTTGAGTTTTGACGAATATGTACACAGTTGCATAGCCATTAGTGTACATATTCCATCACCCAAATAAGTTTCCTTTGCAGCCAATCCTCTCTCTCACTTTTCTGGTCCCTGGCAAACCATCTGTTTGCTTGCTGTCATTATATTTGCCTTTCTTAGAATCTCATAGTTTTTTTGTGTATGTATGTGGCTTCTTTCACTTAGATAATTCTTTAGAGATTCAACCATGTTAATACATGTATCCGTAGTTATTCCATTTTATTGCTGAGTAGAGCTTCATTGTTTATACATTCCAGTTGGTGGACATTGTCCTATTGTTTTTGTTTAAACTTTTATTTCAAAATAATTTTATTTTTTATTTTTTGAAGTAATTTTAGACTGATAGAATAATTACAGAGCTAGTACAGAGAGCTTCTATATACCCTTTCCCAACTTCCTTTAATGTTATTCATACTTAAAAAGTTAATATTGGTACAGTACTGTTACCTAAACGACAGACTTTACTGGGATTTTAGGTTTTTCAGTGGATTTAGTTGTCATGTTTCTGTAGTCTCCTCTAATCTGTGACAGCTCCTCAGCCTTTCCATGTCTTTTTTGGAGCACTCATTCAGGTATTGAGTAGTATGTACCTGAGTCTGTCTGGTGATTAGACTGTAGTTATCAGTTTTGGGGAAGAATACCACGGAGGTGATGTATCCTTCTCATATCATACCAGGAGCTACACAGTATCAAATATATCTTGTTACTGGTGAAGTTAACCTTGATTACTTGGTTAAGGTAGTGTCTGCCAGGTTTCTCTACTGTAAAGTTACTATTTTTTCCCTTTTCTGTAGTCTATTTCTTAAAATAAAATTATTACTTTAAAAATTCTTACGTAGATTAATGTGCATGACATATAATTTAGTAACTCCCTTAATCATAATTATAATAATAATAACAACTACTTCTTACTCCACCTGATAGTTCAAACACATGTGGATTATCTCATTTAATACTCAGGATATCCCTGTGAAGTAGGTACTTTTTTCATGCCCGTTTTATAGGCATGAGAAGACCGAGATGCAGAGTGCCTTGCCCTTGGTCCAACAGATAGTAATGGAGCCAGATGCTAACTTAGCCTAACTTGAGGGTCAGCTTTTAACATGGGCCATATGGTTGTTGTTAGAACTTAGAATGGGAATGCTCTCATTCTTTGCCAGAGAAAACAAATGAATACTTGCTACATTTGACGATTCCCTTTTGTTCTTTAAGAAATTTTTTTTGTTTGATTTTACTTTCAGGAAGGTTCCTTGTGTGACTAAGATTTTAGTAAGCTATGCATGGCAATAATATTACATTAAAATCTTGGAGAAATCCAGGATACTCTGGGGAACACTAAGGATCTATTTTTGGACTTCTTTCAGAAATATGACTGAAGGTTAGGGCAGAGTATTCAGAATAGAAAATTGCTTTTGGAGAAGGAGTATTTACTTAAAGAATGGCACTGAGCCTTCTCCTTGCTGTATTTTATCAGCCTCTTCTAACAAGGGTGTTGTGTTTGTCTGTGTGTGTCGAACCCCACATGTTCACTTTTTGATGACCACACTAATGAGTTTGCTACTACACTGTCAAATGTGTCTCTGAATAGCCTGACTCAGGGAATGATAACTGGTTAAATGATGACTCAGTATCTGAAAGCCTCTATTCTAGTAGCAATGGAGCCACTGAAGGGCACGATGTGTAGGTGGACGTTTGCACATCTTCCCTGTGACTCACTCCACAGCCTGCCTTTCTGAGGGGAAATAGCTGTAGGTGGCTGCAAAGCTCTATTCGTCTCCCTCCTTCCTTCTCTGTCTCATCATGCTATGTAGATTGGGTATTCCCAGGTCCTTGAAATCACACAGCTAGGTGTCTTGAGTGTATCTAGTGGCCAAGCTATCTAGATATCGGTGCAGTTTTGAAAAATAAAACTTTTTTTTTTTCTTTTCTTTTCTAAATGTCTGTTGTATGCCTGGCCATATATGCCAGAATCCACAGGTTAAACAAGATATTGCTCATCACCCAAAGCCAACCTGGGCGGGCATATACATAAAAACTGTGGCATTTATTTCCTTAGGAAGGGAGGAAGGCAACTTTTTAGAACAAACCTGATGCTTACATGCAATAAATAGAAACTTTTTAAGAGAAGAAAATAATTTGGGCATTGATAACAAAGGTAAAGTTTACAGCTCTCTGGATCTGGCCTCAGAACTCAGAGAGTTAAGGATTTTTTCCCCCTCAGATATGGTTTTCTATTTATTCAATACAGAGCAAGTATATGATACAAGAAAATGTAAGAAAGAAAATGAAAGCATTCATTTTTATCACCGGAAATAGGCACTCTTGTTTTGCATAATTTCTCTCTCCCTCTCTTGCTCTCCTGTCTCTCTTTCATACAACCAAGACATTTGTAATCCTGTATTTTTTATGTAATGCTATATCATAAGGATTTTTTCCATCATTTAAAGGAAAAGATTTCACTAATTTGGTAGGAGAAAAAAACTAGTGTTCATTTGAATTCCCTTAATATTTTAGTTAGGATTAACATTCTTCTTTAAGTCGACTATCAGTTTATATTTACCCGTAGAGATTGTCAGTTTTTCTATTCTGTATCTTTCCATAAAACTGGAAATGTTATTAAAGCAAGCCTCTGATTTCAGATGTCCTGAATGATGCTATATTTGATGAAGATCATGATGAGATGGTGATTGTGAAGGACATAGATATGTTTTCCATGTGTGAACATCATCTAGTTCCATTTGTTGGAAAGGTAAGGTTTTCTCTGTTGTTTCCTAACTATTTAAAAGAGCACAATGAAATTTTAAAAATTAGGATAATTACATTTATAATTGTCACTGAATTCCTAATATTCCAGATATTTAGAATTACATATAAATGTTTAATCTTTATCAATCTGACTAATCTAATACCTTAAAATTAACAAAATAAAAACAAAGCAAAAGGCCCTCAGGATAAGCATTTCATTATAAATACCATGTTAATAGGTTAAATTAATGAGATTAAAGTCTCTCTTTTTTTCTTTTAGATAGCTGCTGCAGGCTCTGAAAACCTTTGCCCTTTATTTTGACTACATAATGTTTGATCCAAAATAGGCTTTTGTAAAATATAACATGAGCAGTAGTGATTGCAGAATTTCTTGTAATAGAAGTTATAGTATTAGTGGGTTTGTTTCCGGCCCTTTCTATAGTAGGAAAAATGAATCTAATGCAAACTAGATAATCTTATCCAGCTTGTTCTAGTGAAACATACCTTTGAGAACATGTGTATTTAGAAACAAGAGTTTTCTGTTCTCTTCTCCTCCCGCATCATAATTTTATTTTAACTTTTTATAAATAATTTCCAAACAAGATTTATGAGAAATAGTGCTATGAATACCTATATACCCATCACCTAAATTTAATGTGTTAATATTTGCTTCACATTTTTTTTGTTGAAGTATTTCATTTCTTAATTTTTTATAGAAGACATGAAAATACACTAATCACATGGGTATTCCTTACCACCTCACAGGTCAAGAAATAGAGCATTATTAGTATCCTGGAAGCTTTCTCCCTCTGCCAACCAGAAAGGCTATGAGTTGGTATTCTCAACCCTCCAAAACATAGCGCTAGTGAAAACCACTAATTACTACTAGATCAGTTATTCAAATGTACAGAAAATATTAGGTGAACACATGCAACAAATGCTGGCGAACCGTGATGAAAATGAATCTATAATTTTATATTATTTGATAGCCCTAAAATCACCATTTATTTTACTAGCCTTTTTTGGAGAACTAATGTTTTCTCATACTTAATACATGGCTCAAAGAGAGGTAACATTTACACATTAGATGTTAATCATTGCCTATTAATATTATAGAAATAGCTTTGCCTTATAGTAGGTTCTGTAAGGACTTAGGATCCAGGTTCTTGCAGAGTCACATTTGTATCTGTGTCCTTTTTCTCCTGTCAGGAAGATGGTATGCTCCAGCAGCTTAGAAATGAGGTCGCCATGCACGACAAAGGGCATGAAGCCCCTCTTTCTGTGCAGTAGGGCTCCACAGCTGGGTAGGGCTTTTAAGGCCACAGTGATGTGTGGAATAGCAATATATATATAGTTACAGTTTCGACCCTTATTATAAAGGAGGCTTTATAATAACATTTTAATGTTGCCACAGGATAATTTGTACTTTCTTGAGAATGTTTTCCCTCAATAGAGGAAACTTTAAGAATTGTATCTAGAGTTTAACTTCACCATAACTATATTTCAAATTTGTTATTTTAATAGTGTCATTCTTATATTTTTTCATTTTGCTGTATTTATATAATTTTTTAAATGCTTATATAAGTGCTTAGTTTTTCTAAGTCTTAAGTCTTCTAGATGTCTTAAAGATGTATTTTCATTGTATCAAATTATATAATAAGTATACTTATGTTTCCTTATTTCCTTATTTTGTCACAGGAAAGCACTGTATTTTCACTTAGCTCACTTTTTAAAAAATTTTTATTTTTCAATTAGAGTTAACATTCAATATTATTTTATATTAATTTCAGGTGTACAGCATCCTGGTTAGACATTTATATAATTTATGAAGTGATCCTCCCAATTAGTTAAGTATCCACCTAGTACTATACGTAGTTATTACAATGTTATCGACTATATTCTATATGCTGTACTTCACATCCCTGTGATTATTTTGTAACTACTTAGCTCATGATCTCTGTCTCTTTTCTGAAGGTCCATATCGGTTATCTTCCTAACAAACAAGTCCTTGGCCTCAGCAAACTTGCGAGGTAAGTGCGACTGTGTGGTGAGTAGGAAAAAAGGTTTATAGGACCTGCTCCTACACAGTGAGAATCTCATGAGGCTTTCTTTCTTGACAAGTATGGATCTAACATGGAAGTCACATTGCAACTTAAAGTTTATAGCCGCAGAGACAGACTTAAAGGACTTAGAGGACCTGAAACACAAATGCCCTTTTCTTCTCACTCCCCCATTGCCTACCTTTCCTCTGACCACCTGTCCCTTCTTCCACTGACACATCCTTAAAGTTTTAGCTCACACCTTTCTCTGCAGAGCCTTCTCTGACTAGAAAGCACCCAAAGGTGTATTCAGTTCATGCCCTATCCTTTAAGGTAGTGTTGGCTAAAAATGAGGTATGAGAGAGGAAATGTGGGCAGGGGTTTAAGTGTACTTCACTGTTTTCAGACTTTTAATCAAGCCACTATTTGGGGCCTCAGTCCTGCCTTCTGCTGTACCTGGTTACCTCCGGTCATCTCTCAGGGGTCCTGCAGGGCCAGTCCACTTTTGGTTTCTTTGCCTCTGCAGACACAACACTGTGCTTTCCTTGGCTTTCTCAGCTCTATTCCAAGACAATGCTTACTTCCCTCTCTTACATATCTCTCCTTTCTGATATAGTTTTCTTTTCCATTCTTTATCCTATGGGTTCATGCCTTTTAAAAAATTTCTTTGTTACCATTTTTATTTGGGATTTAGAAAGGAGAGGTGATGTACAAGCATGGTAATCTATGTTTAACTGGAAGTAAACTTGAGGGTCAGTGTTCATATAGCTCTGATACACCCATCAACCAATATTCTAATGCCTCTAAATATTCCCTATTGTAATTTGTATAGAATTAGTAAGTCCTGGTAAAATACTGAGAGGGTGTGTGTGTGTGTGTGTGTGTGTGTGTGTGTGTGTGTGTGTGTTGTGAGTAAAGAACAGAATGAAGGAATAGGTGATGATCATACGTCAGGTGCCCTCCCCACCAGCTTTTTAAAATAAACCAAGCCAAGTTTGTGTAGCTTGATTGAGGTTATAGTGACCATATCAAAATTGGAGTAAATGAATATTTTTGACCAACTGACTGTTCTGTGGCTCTGATGTGTTTCTGCTTCTTCTCCACTTAGACTCTGGGATTCACCAAAGTCTTGAAATGGTGGTCTAGATATTTATCAATTCTGCGTTAGAATCTATAGAAACCACCCAACAGTTTGACAGCTGCTCTCCATAGCTGTTCTTTTTACTTTTGTTTTCACGTCCACTTTTTTATTCATTTCCTCTAGGGATTAAAGAGAAACCAAGTAGAGGAGAAAAATTTAACTCCCTTAGTTTCTGACCTTATTCCTGGTCAGCAGCCTTGCCACCAGGCAGGGCTACTTGGTACCATGAAAGGATCTTAGTATATCATAACTGTAATTGCTTCACTGCAGTAAGGCTCTTAACACAAATCCGGAACCATCTTGCCACCTTTCAGTGATCTGTACCTAGTGCCAGTGCCAAGGGTTGGCTGAAAAAGGGTATTAGTAGTGATGGGGGTAATTAATACTACTATAATTTCTATTGCCAACCATAAACCTTTCCCCTATAGAAAATCTGGTACTGCTGATGCCTGTGACAGATTGTATGTGAAAGGTGTGTAGTGGGTAGTTCTCATATTGTAAAAATGCTTGGCAGACCACACTGGGCCTTGGTCTTAAGATAAGGAGCCTTCTCTAGAAGACCACTCTGGATAGACCATAATTAACACTTTATGGAAATGGATTCTAGAGTGATCTAGTGAGATCTTAGAGTAAATGGTAACTTGAGGGTAGAAGGGAATAATCTTTGGTTATTTCCTTGCCTAGAGAAAGATCTCAAATAATTAAGCTTTTATGAAACAATACAAAGGAGTTGATTATTAGCCTAGGGATTTGTCCTTACACTAATAGGATTAAAATTTAAGGGGAAAAATGGAACACTAAGCCAAAGAATGAGTTTGTTACTTTCTGATATTTTGTAAAAAAATTTTGAATATGCAGTCTATTCAGTGGAAAAGAAGACTAAGATTTAATACAATGGCTTACTCCTTGTAAGGCGTAGGAATATTTAGAGGATGAAGGGGAATAAAGCAAGCTCAATGTCTTTGCAAAACTTTACCATTCATTTTACTCTTGTATGTGAAGTTTGTTATATGCTTGCCTTTAAATGAATGACCTTTCAGTGCCACAGAAGTCAAATATCAAACAGCAAAGCCTTAAGTAACAAGAAAATGCCAGAAGTGAGTTGATCCAGTTTAACTCTAGTAGAATACTAGAGTAAAATTAGCTTGGATAGAAATTCCTTTTGTTGCTGAAAATCCAATGAACATGTATTAATTTTCTTGCCTTAGAATAATTGAGTGAACATAATTAAATCTTGAATTTTGAATTGTAGCACCTCAGGTAGCCATGGTTAACCTATTATTGAGCGCCAACTGTGAAAGGGCTTGAGAGAAGTAAGACATAGCCACTGCCCTCAAGGAGGGTGAGAGTATGAGGCAGCAGGTGACATAGAAATGCCTGCGTTGGAGCTCCCAGGTCAGAGGAATCAAGATGGCTGTGGGCTGGCAGTGCTGAGGAGACCCAGAGGTAGAGGGCTGAGCAGAATTCTAAATGGAAGAGAAGTTACTGTAGGCATAGTTAATGCATAAGCAAAGGTAAATAGGAGGGTAGGAGCAAGATATATTCCAGTGGGGTAGGGAGCAGATTTGATTGATAAAAATAAGAGATTTAGGTAGGAGTGAAAGAGAGATAGTTTAAAAAGGGTGGACATTAGATTACAAAGTGAACATTCTTTTTTCCTCTTTCTCAATTATAAAAGTAACATACTTCCCAGTTAAATTAAAATACAAATGAGTGAGTAAAGGGAAAGCTTTTCTTTCCTATTTCCATTCCCCAGAGTTAAAACTAGATATTTCTTTTACTATTCTTCTAGAAAATTTCTATGTAAACGCAAACATAAAGCTCTTTAAAACTAGCAAAACAAAACAAAGCAAAAAAAAAAAAAATACATTCTGTACTACATTGTTTTTTTTTTAAATTAATTTAATTTACATTGAGATCCCTTGGACATCTTTTAGACCAAAAAGTCCAAGTTCCTTTTAATGGCTACATAGTAATTCTTTGATTAATATAATTCAGTTAACCAGTTTTTGATATAATTAAGTATCGTCTATAGTTTGAGGCCATTGTCAAAAAAAATGGTGAACGTATTTTTATATATTTGCATATTTTGAGTCTACCTATAAGATAAAGTACTTGGGTAAAATTTGCTGGATTAAGGGTAGCTGAATTTTCGATATTACCAAATCGCTGTCCAAAAAAAGATTTTATCAATTTATACTCTAATAATAGATAAATGATGTGTATTTCTGCACATTTTGCCAACACTTTCATCACATTTTTCAATCTTTGCCAAACTGATAAGTGAAAAATGGTACTTATTATTTTAATTTGCTTTTCCTTAATAGAGTGAGGGTGATTTTTTTCCAGAAGCTTCCTGCACTTAGCCTTTGCTAATTTTCCCTTTGGGTTACTTGCCTTTTTATTACTGATTTGTACTAGCTCTCTGAATGTTAAAGCAGTTAGGTCAGGTGATGCAAATAATTTTTTCAGGCTTATCATTTGTCTTTTGATTTTGTTTTATAGTATTATTTCTCCATAAAGAAGTTAAAAACGTTAATGTAGTCATAAACTCACGTTTTCTGGGTTATTTTTATATTTAAACCTTTGCTCCATCTGGACTATATTCTAGGGCAAAGAGTGAGGGGTAGTCCATCCATCGCTGTTGCATGCTCATTGACCTCCTCCCTACGTCCCTCCCATTATCGCGCTGTCTTCTTGCTATTCTGCTGCCTTTCTCTGTTGGGCTTTTCTTTTGTTCCTCCTGCATTATAGGTTAAACTTCTAACTCTTCTTGGCCTCTAATTTCTCAGGGTCCTTAAATCTGCTCTCATTTACTGCTAGGATGTTCTTTTTAAAGTGTGGATTTGATGATACTGCTCCTTCCTAGCACCCCATAGCTTTTAAGGTAAAGTTCAAATTCCTTACTTTAGCTAACAAGTCTCACTGCGATCTGCCTCCATCTCCTGTTTGCTCTTTGTTCTAGCCACACTTGAGAATTGGCAGCCTGGTTTCAAGTCAAGCTTGTCAAATCAGGTTATATGAAGGCATCGAAAATTATTTTAAGATTTACAAGGGTTAAATTATACCATCCATTAGTTCTTCCTGCAAAAATGTCACCACGTTACTTTCCCAGTTGCCAGAGGAAGAAGATGAGAGAAAACTTAATGCAAAAGAGAAAACAGAGGACCTAGCACAGAGATTGTAAGACCAGTAAGCAGGTTATTTAAATAAGATGTTCATTGGGTTAAATCCAGTACCCGACTATGTCCCATTTATTTAAAAAAAAAAACAAACAAAAAACCATAAAAATTTAGAATAAAAGTCAAGACAAAATGTATCAAAGGGGACAAAACAGGTCTTCTTATTTTGATGAAGTTTAACTGGCTGAAATGCATAGAGAAACTGACAAACCTGAGAGGAGTGAGTGGGAACACAAACTACCTCCCAATCTTTGATTGAGATGGACAAAAAACACATACAATGCAGAGTAATAAAATTTTCCAGAGCTTAAACTTGATTGTGTAACAAGAGAACTAGAAATTAATACAAAATTATTTTTAAAACCTAGCTATTTGGAAGCTAAAATTCTTTTAAATTCCTTTGACATGATAGAAAATCATAATGGTGCAAACACTATATACCACTATGTGCAGAGCTGTATTTTGTAATTGATACCAAGCCTCCTCAATTTCTTCCAAAAAAGAGAAGAAGAGGGAAACTTCCCAACTAATTTTTTAAGATCACTATTACCCAGATATTATATCAGACAGGACCCTATAAGAAAAGAAGATTATAGGCCAATATCTCTGATGAACATAGATGCAAAAATCCTCAACAAAATATTAACAAACTAAATTTAACAGTACAG